CAGGATTAGCCCTGTAAAGTGGGAAAAAACAAAAGGAGATTTCTTCTAACAATCAGTTCTCTGAACTACTTCGAAAGTTACCAACTGGTTCTCCCAAATAGGTGCGAACTGGCTGAATCCTACCACTGTTTGGTACATTGTATATCATTCTTCGGACCATCAAAGTTTTGATTTTGGAGGATTTGGCATTTTGGTCTTCAAAATGACAGAGCTACATTTACTCATTTTCATTATCATTCATACCTCTTGGACAATCCTTAGATATTTTTATAACATCTTACAAGTTTCTCACTGGAGTAGGGTGTTGTTTTTTTTTACATTGGCCTAAATTGATGCTTCGCCTACTAGGATGACACGAGGCAGGTATAGTCTTCCATATGATAACTATATTTGTGTATGTTCAGACATAGAGGTTGAGTCGCTGAATTATATTCTTTAAATTGTCTATTCAGTCACTCATAGCATTTGGCAAAAACCTGATTGCCAGAAATCTTAGTCATTTGACTAATAGCTTTCCGATTTCCCTCTGCAAGAACAAATATGGTAACCACTAAGAAGATTGCCAACTTTTTAACAACAGCCATAGCTTGCAGAAATTCACCTAATATCCCCTTTTTAGTACCAATTGTTTCAGATTCGGTTTATTGTGTGGTTCTGAGTTCTCTTTTTGTTGTTTATTGGTTTCTGGCCATCAATCAGTGAAGAGGAATACTAGTTTTGTCACTTATGGATTTATATTCCATAACATATAACTGATGATTACAACTTATCTAGAAGACCTTTCACTTGATACTTGACATTCAATCCTTCTTTCATCAAGGGTACAAGCGCTGATTTTTTTCAGCTAATTTTTTTCCTCCTCTGAGATAATTATTTTTTCTTTCGGTCATTTTGAATCAGATGTATCTTTCTTTGCAGATCCCAACATAATTATCTGAGAATCACCCGGATTCTGAAGAGTCTTGGTGAACTTGGCTATGAGAGTTTCAAGCCACCTCTCGTGAAATTGATTCTACACGAGGCTCTGGTGGAAGAAACCATACCCAACATTAAACAGAGCGCTCTGGAATATTTTGTGTACACCATTAGAGATCGAAGAGAGAGGAGGAAACTTCTGCGGTTTGCCCAACAGCACTACACCCCTTCTGACCATTTCATATGGGGCCCACCAAGGAAGCCAAAGCTGGAAGGAAGCAAACCAAATAAAAAGCTGGCTTCACCAGTGTCCCTTCGCAACAGCTCCACTTGTAAACATAAAAAGACAAAAGATCTCAAGAACGCATCTGAAATTTGTAACTCGAGGAATAAAACAAATGACGAGAAAAAGACAGAGCATATTAAAAACGGTACAGATAGCAACCAGAGTAAGAAAACAGGCTCCCCTGAAGTTGTTAAGCAGAGCAGTATGGTGAAAAATAGTAGTGCTGAGTGTCACAACACTAAAATGGACATTGTTGAGCCTTTGAATCAGAAGGAGACTATTTCTCATTTAAAGAAACATAAAGGCAAAAACAAGGAGAACGTTAGCCAGGACTGTAAACATTTGGAAGACATAGAAAAAGATTCATGTGAGACTAAAAACGATTCAACAAATATATCATCCGATATGCAAGACAATATATGTAAGGATAAAAACCTGGCGAGCTCATCTGTAAGAAATAAAGAGTGAAATCTTCTACCTGCATATGGCACAATGGTTTTTCACTTGTAGAAAATTGTTCAGGAACAAGAGATCTTTGGTACTGGATCCAATGCTGGCTACAACAGCTTAGCCTTGTCGGGGTTGTGGCGTCCTTAATTTGTTTACGGTTTGTACTTCTCCCAGCTATGTATTAAGCTTACAAACTGCATATTGCTTAAGTCTAAGAAAAAAAAACAACTTCCTTTGAATCTGTTTTCTATGCATAAAAATCCAACGTTGATTTTTATTATGTATTTTATTTAAACTCTCTTAATTAATTTTAAGGTTTTGTTTTCAAAATATGGATGCGAGATAGACTTCCAAGGAGCGAAAGTTAGCGTCTCTTCAGCCGATAACTATGCTAATGTTTATAGAGTGCCTACCACTGCTTAAAAATTGGAATTTAGCTGTATTCTTATTTAACACAGAAAGTGGACCGCAGAGACTTGAGCTAAAGTCAAGCACAGCCTTGAATCACAACGGGCAAACTATATTAATTCAGCTCTTTTTCAAGCTTGACTATAAGGAGCCGTAATTAATTTCCCTGGGTTATTATGAGAAAATGCAGCAAAATAGCAAATCTCTACCATTTGCATACCAGCCTCCAAACATACTCTTACAGTTTTGTTATTGCCATTTTTCTTGATGTCTCCTCTAAGACACTGTACTGAGTGAAGTGTGGGGAAAATAGGATTCCAAACTGTTAAGAGAGTACAGTTTTTAAATGTTTTTTTTTTTAAATAAAATACTAAAACCTAGCTCAGGTGTGATATTCCAAATGAAAAGTTGGGCAGGGAATACTCATTTACCCTAATGATACATCAGCAAAATCCTTGCGAATGTAAAATGGGATAAAATTGTATTCTGCTTGCATGCTTTCTGCTTTCCATTATTTGTTATCTCGCTTCATCCCCCTTCCTTTTTGTTGTTGTTCTTCGCATGGAGTTGCACACCTCTGAGAATGAAGGTAAGCATTTCGTCCATGTTTTACTTCAGTACAGAGGTGGGTTTCTGCTGGTTCGCCCCGGATTGGGAAAACGGGTAGTGGCAGAAGCGGGAGGCTGCGCCTACCCAGCCAGATGCTTCTGCGCATACGCATGCACATGTGCACAAGCGAACCGGTAGTAAAATAAATTGAAACCGACCACTGCTTCAGTATCTGGAGCAATCACTGGTAGGAGGGAATCATTCGACTTGAGGGGTTTCATTCCCGTGGATAAAGTCTTTCGTATAAAACACAGGAAAATTTAAACGTTGCAAAGACTCCCCCCCCCCCAAAAAAAATTGTGTATCCAGCCTTTCTAGGGCAGAGAAACACTATTTTAAATATAACCTTCCTGTAATTTCAGAACGGATTTAAAAAGCCCTTTACAGCTAGGAGATTTCATCTTATTTTCTCTCCCAGCCTTCCTGAAAATTCCTACCCATAATTTCACTGTGGGAATCTACTGAAGGAGAAACCTTCTAAGCATGTTGATATTTGCGACAAGGAATCTCGCTGTTCCCTTGCTTCTCCCTCTCTTCACCTCTGGCCCAGGAAGTATTCCCAGGGAAGGAGTGACATGTCTAAAACAGTGTTTCTCAACCTTGGCAACTTTAAGTCCTGTGGTCTTCAACTCCCAGAATTCCCCAGCCAGCTGTGCTGGCTGGGGGATTCTGGGAGTTGAAGTCCACAGGACTTAAAGTTGCCAAGGTTGAGAAACACTGGTCTAAAAGTTGAAGTCTATTAATGAAAAGGACTCAGAAGATGTTGGGAGAGCTAAGGAAATTCTTTTTCAAAGTCACAGGGCCTCCTAGTGAGCAAACATAGCTCTCTTATCAAAGTCGTAACACTCTTAATATATACAGTTTAATTATCCTTCCCCAAATCAAAAGACCTTGTAGGAGAAAAGAGCAGAGATGTGATAAAATAGTGGTCTATGTGACTGGGCTCATTTGTGACACTAGTTTGGGTTAAGAACAGGAAAGAGCTAAAATTGTAATTGTAATTTAATAAATTTATATGCCGCCCAATCCCGTAGGACTCCGGGCGGCTTACAAATACAAGAATAAAATA